ATATAGATTGACCTAAATGGGCTCGGACGACGTCCATGTAGGTATAGTTGCGGGTGCCGTGGACGGGGCCGGGGCAGCGGTAGGTATCGGCGAGCAATGAGGAAGTGAAAAAGGTGATGAAGGAGAAGGCCATCAGCACTGCTGGCCCCGCAACCCATCCCAGTTGGGCTATGGCCCACGCTAGAGACAACACACCCGACCCGATCACCGCTGTTATTATGTGTGCGCTCGCCGCCACCAGAGTCCCGCTTCTTTTTACACGCCCGTCGTCGTCCAACCCCTTGCTGTCTTGTCCCTGCTCCATTCTATCGCTGGCCGTTTGGTCCATGTACATCGACATTCTGTTGCCCTCCTTCTCCATGAGGATCTCTCTCTATATATATTATTATTAATAATAATAATATTTATACAAATTCTTTTTTATTTATTCTAAGGTGTGTTCTTGTGTCTAGTTTTTCAGATTCTGATGAGTGGGTAAATGTGAGATGGGGAGAAAGGGGTATATAATAAGACAGAGAAATTTAAGGGCTCTAAATTTGAGTCACCTGTTATAAGTCAGCAAAATTTTATTTAATTTCAGTCAATTAAATAAAGTCAAAAAGGTATTTATATAGTGTGACTGTATATAGTGGGCAAGTGGTTATGAAATTTTGTTTATATATATCTATCTATTTTCAATGAACATAAATAGGCACGCGATACTGGACAACATTTGTTGATTAAAAGTTACGTTAGTGTGTATTGAGTGTGTATTGACGGTAGGACTGGGTAAAAAATTCGAATCGAACCGCTGAATCGTAGATCCGAATCGAAATCGAACCGAATTTTCGGTTAATCGGGGTACTCGGTTCAGTTACAAATACCTCAAAGGAAGTATTTGCTCGGTTCGGTTCAGTTACGGTTTTTAGAATTTTTTTACCCCGGTTAACCGAACCGAACCGAATCGTATATTATATTAAAATTTATCACTACAAGAAAATGATGAAATTCCAATGGAAATCCATTATAATAGAATGATTCCAACGGCAATTCCAACGGATATTTCAATACTATTATTTACGTTGGAATTTTTCAATGAATTCCAACGGAAATTCCAACAGATTTATTCCGTTAGAATGAGTTTTCTATTGGAATTTCTGATGGATTTTGACGATTCCAACGGTGGATATTCCAACGGGGGTGGAAATAAAAATTCCAACGAAAATTGCATATTCCAACGGAAATTCCTACGGTAAAAATCCGTTGGAAATATAGCCGTTGGAATCACCATATTCCATCTAAAATTCCAATGAAAAACACATTCCAACGGAAGCTATACCGTTGGAATATCCGTTGGAATTTCTATTGGAATATATTACCATAGGATTTTCCGTTGGAATATAACAATTTTTTTGTAGTGTATGAAATATATATTATATTATATATTATATATTATATTTATATATATTAAACTAACTTGTTGGTATGGCTATTCGCGAATTAACCGAACCGATCCGAACCGAACCGAACCGAGCAAACCTAACACAGATTTGTGTTAGGTTTGATTGGTTCGGTTCGGTTCGGTTAATTCGCAAATAGTAGGATTTTTTCGGTTAACCAAAATTTTCGATTCGGTTTCGGTTAGCAAGTTCGAATATTTGCTCGGTTCGGTTCGTTTAGCAAATACCTCAAAAAGCTCGAGTATCCGAACCGTGCCCACCCCTAATTGACGGTGGGTCGCTAATTGTTACAATAAGTATGTTTAAAGAGATTTGATTGGAGGTTAAGATATATATAATGGTGTGTTTTAGTAGTATGGAATAGGGAGAGCTTACAATAAATAAATATGCGTAAAAATAAAGCAAGACACCGGGTGACTATAGATGATTTCTCCATAATTTTATTGGAAGATTTGTATGATGGATATAACTGAGTATTTTTGTTTGTGACCTTCAAGAGATCAGACATGTATTACTAGAAGTATAGGGAAAAATATTGGTGATTATAACGTTATGATCGTGATCGACCATTTGTATGTGCTTCTCTTTGATGGATTGGCTTGCCTCTTTCGGACTTGAGGGTAGGTATATAAGCACGAAAAAGTGATTGGGGGCGTAGGGTGGCAACGCGTATTCTCATGCAAAAGTGGATGGGACAACTTGGGGGTGCTATCAGCTATCAATGTATATTAAAAATGTAATTAAGGTGATAGCCAATCTTTCATGAAAAGCTTATGTGGGTGATCGACAGGCCGATCGGGTGATCGACAGCCCTAACGGTGTTTGTTTGCCCGTCAGCGAGATGACTGTTATGATAATTATTTTATGTCCTATTAACTTAAAATTAACTTAACTTTATTCAACTTAACTATCATCTCCTAACACTTCACCTAACACTTCGATTGTGTATCTACTTTGACACTTTAATCGAACACCATGTATTGTTTTTTGCTGCTCTCGCCTTGGTCCCCATGCTCCATGAGAAAAACCAATCGACCTTCCCGACTTACGAGGATTTGTATGCACACCTCAAAGATATGAAAAGGGAGAGTGGTGAACTCACCGCCAACAACCATAAGCTCAAGAGGGAGGTTGGCGACATGGATCGTCATATCGCGACCCTCCAGAAGGAGGTAGAAGTGTTGAAAGCGAAAAGAGACGTTGACATGGAGGCGTCGAGCCACATTGGCCAAGATTATGGGTGCCAAATATTTTTGACCAGGCGAGCAGGGTTGGCCTTTATTCGTGTATACTGCGAGTTGGTCGAAAAATACTATTGCAAGTCTTCTGAATTCGTGAATCAACTCGCCCTTGATGCCATGGAATATGTCGACCACCCCCTCGAGTAGGTCGATCGACAAGTGAAAGCATCTGGCTTTTTGGGGACCCTCAATGAAATGGAGATCCTTGAGGGGTTCACTACCCCACAGTGTATGAGGGCGAGACCAATCTCCCCAAAGATCACTGTTGGTGGGCGAAGACGTTTGAGGAGTGCCTTCGCAAGCACGATCTGACCAAGGGCTTGACCCTACCTACTGAGCCGATGTCGATTGAGCTGATCTCCTAAGCCCCTCCTGCTGAAGAGCCTGCTGGTGTCGCCCTGGTCGAGGGTTCTGACGTGGCCAATATGACCTCCCCACTTTATGCAAAAGACACTACCTTAGATGTTCAAGATGTCGAGGTCATCGAGCCATCTGCCCAGGATTCCAATGTTGCACCTCCTGCGTGATTGAACTATCCGATGTCAGTACTTTTGAATATTTTGTTTGGTTATCCTTTGTGTCTTTATAACCTTGGCTTGTACCCTTTGTGTTTCTGAGTGAAATGTTTGGTTAATAGTTTTACCATGATATCTTTATTATGTATACTTACTCACCAACAATTTCTCAATTAATGTTTACCGACGTATGTAACAAACATTTATCCTGGTATATCCCCCAAAATTTAACCAAATACGCCGTCAAAATTTAACCAAGTATACCACAGAAATTAAACCAAGTGTGCCATCAAAATTTAACCGAGTATACCACCAAAATTAAACCAAGTGTGCTATCAAAATTTAACCAAGTACACCACCAAAACTAAACCAAGTGTGCTATCAAAATGTAATTTTTCAATTGTATATATGTTGTTTTTCAAACTTTTTATGTATTTGTATGCTATATTTCAATTTCATGAGTAATTCGATAATTTTAATGTTTATCTCATTATGAATTTGTTTTCGTTCCAATCAATCAGTGTCATGTAAATGTGTAGTATTTTTTAATTATATTTTTTTTAATATGCTAATAATTTGCTAAAATTAATTTATTAGAGTAAAAGAATAATATAAAAATCTATTTCTTTTTAATGGAAAATTATGATAAAAATATTAAACTATACATTAAAAAATATATATATAACGTAACTAAAGTATTAAATAACTTCACAAAGCATAAAGGGTCATTTTGTAGTTTGAAAAAATTTGAGTTACTGCATATCTAAACGCAAGTTTGCATTTTTTGGCGAGAGTGTTGAATATCAAGTCAAACTCCAACCACCTCAAACTTCTCCTTTCATATCTCAATCTCATAGTGACAGTACAACAAGGCCCTTAGCTATTGTGGCCCCATACAGCGTGCAGGTGAAGAGTCGGATGATGCCACGTGTAAATAATCCTAGGGTTCTAAGTGTAAGTTGTATAAAGTGAGGTGAGAGCACATGATGTCTTGCATGTATAAATGCTAACTCTGAAAACCTCGCCGCTATTGGAAAGTCTCGATATTATCATTCTGCATATTGTAAGAATCTTAAGCTTTTTATGGTGAAAAATGATTCATGGCAACATTTCCTCTATCCATGTTTTACTTCTTTTATTTTCATGGTATCAGAGAGGGTATTTTAATCTGTGACTGAGCCATCTGCTAAAAAAAAAAAAAACTCATGGCAGACTCAAGCCACTCAGGAATTGGATCTGGTCATGAAGGCCAAAATTCTCAGATCCACCAATCTTCTTCTCGTCTTTCCTCAAAACCAGTTAATCTCCACAAAACTCGATGAGAGTAATTTCTTGATCTGGAAGCAACATGTGCACACCACCATAAGAGGATATGGACTAGAGAAGTACATCAGTCCAGAAGCATCTTCTCCTTCTCAGTATATCATAGATCAATACTCTCAACAATCAGTGCTCAATGAAAACTTCTTTTTGTGGGAAAGAAAGGATCAGCTACTTGCCTCATGGCTTTTTATCCTCCCTGAGTGAAGGGATCTTGATCCAAACTGTGGGTCTCAACACAGCTAGAGAAATCTGGAGCTCACTTGTAACTAACTTTGCCAACCAGACCACAGCCAAGTTAATGCAATACAAGATTCAGTTGCAAAGCATGAAAAAGAACAACCTGACCATGACTCAATATCTCAACCAGATGAAGATTTGCTCTGACAACCTAGCCTCAGCTGGTCAACCAATCAAGGAAGGAGACAAAATAATCCATATCTTAAGTGGGCTAGGGATTGAATATGATGCAGTCATGGTCTCAGTCACATCAAGACTTGAACCCTACACTGTGGTTGAGATACAAGTTTTGCTGTTAAGCTATGAGTCTAGGCTGGAGATAAACACTAAGCTTACCAACAATGTCGACATGGAGGGCTCTCAACCATCCATCAACACAACAACACAAGCCTCTCAAAGGAAGAACAACCCACCTGATCAGCTTAGAGAAGGTTTTAAAGGTTCATCTTCTAATAGAGGTTGTAGAGGCAGGTTCCAAAAACAACAGACCAGTGTGTCAAGTTTGCAAAGTGGCTGGCCATACAATCAGATAAATGTTGGTACAGGTTTGACCAAAACTACCCTCCTCAACAACAGCCTAACAACAACAACAACATGGGAAACATT